TTAACATCTCCAAGTATTCTGGAGTGTTTGCCATTGAACCTTTACTTCGTCTTCTGGCTTTCTTTTCACTGGTGATAATGTATTGGTGTTTGGATGGATCTTTTATATGTCTCAGGAGCCACAGGTATTGTACTTTAACCTTGGAATCTTTATTAATTATCCATTGTAAATCCTGGGTGAGATTGCTGCACTTGTCTTTTTCTTCTTCATTTTGGGTAGCTTACTAGTAAATCTAGATTTCTTGTTGGGGTTACATGATACACATGATACACACAGTGTGCTCTATTCTTGCTGCCATTCTCACATTCCTGTATTGCAGGTTTTCTGCTGTTGAGTCACCCAAGTTGTGATTTTGGTGAAAGCAACACGAAAAGTGTTTACCAGTTTCACTGCCACTGATCATGTCCCTGGCTACCAGTACAGGCCTTTCTTTGCATTCTTTCTCTCATGTTCCTCTAGTCCTTTTACACACACATCTGCACTCATACTTCATTCTAACTGTTCTTAATATTTCTGTATACAGACCCTTGCGTAGCAACATAATATAAACCACGTAGTACAGTGCTGGCCCTGGTTTGGATGGTTGGCAGGCTATAGTTAAGTTTATGCAGGGTTAATTGTACTGCAACTTATTCCAGCTTTACTGAGAAAGTCAGATGCAGATAATTACATCATGTCTCCAATCACTGGACCATATTATCTATTTAATGTAGCACACTGACAGCAGGCAGTTTTCCTTTGCACTGGTTCCTGGGCCAGTCACACCAACTTAATGCAAGTGTTCATGTGCAATTACCTGACTGCACATTGAGGGAAATGTTATAAACCAGCTCAGGTAGAACAGCAACTTGAGGCCATGTTACCACTCCTGCAACTACTCAGACACCCCTGCTTCTTACAAAGGAAACACTGGAAAGACTGTGGGTGCTGCAGAATGTCCACGGGGCAGTCTGGAGAGAAAAGTCCTTCCCAGCCACAGGCACCTTCACTGAGAATGACTATGGGAGTAAACCTCCAGTTCAACAGCTGAATCAGCTTATTGGCTGAAGCAGCACCGCCCTCCCCATCATCCTAAAAGAAGGGCTGATGTTCTCTACTCATAGTCCTACTCAGGGCGCTTTGTGTCTCAGCAGTACTGCTGCACCCAGTCTGCTGCCCTGAGGTGTGTACTTTGCTAGACGCTCAAGGGCAGACATGACCAAACAGAGCCTAGGACTGTTTCTGGAAGCATCCAAGGGTATCCCACAGAAGTCACCCAATCTCAGCAAAGAAGGACATTATCCAGCTGAATGTCAGAGCTTCCAAACTGCTCAACAAATTCAGAACATTACTGGAATAAGAACAGCATTTGTAGGAACTTCAACCAGTGTAAAATTACACGGTCCTAATCCTTCTCCCCCACAGCACGCAACAAGTTCCACATTGAGTCAGAAAAATAGACAAGCTCAGTGTTCCAGAGATAGACTATTGCACAACTATCCCTACTGTGGGGGTTTATTATTCCTCCCTGAATCAGCTAGTGCCAACCACTACCCAATACAGAAGCCATGCTCATCATTGTGCAGTCAGAACACAACAGCAAGCAGCCATGTGAACTGCTCTTTTCCTAGTAGAGGACAGATTAGTCCTCTATTCAGACAGGCTAGAATTTTTGGAGATTTTTATGGTAGAAAGGAGCTAATATTTGAAGAGATGTGCTCCATGCACTGTTCCTGTAATTTGTGACCATGTTGCTCTTCTGGGGTGATAAGAAACAGTTACTGACATGGATAACCTACCTTGGAAAAGAGTTCTAGGAATTTTAGCTGTATTCTATGCAGTTTCTTAGATAGTGATTACAGATAAATTAGAAGAAGCAGTCAGAAAACTGAGTCACTTTTCAAGCAGAAGATTAATGGATCAGCAGCAGTCTACAGAAACCCCTCCCAGCTGACCGACAGACAAGCTCTCAGAAATGGTCACTTCTGTGGACTCAAAGTGCTGGGCTACAGACCTGGCCAAAATGTCTGGCCCTGCAGGCTGCTTCTTTCCAGAAGAAAAAGCACTGAAGGAGTCAGATGTTTCCTCTAGAGGAACTGTCTTATTTTATAGCAAATTATCCCTTGGCCCCTCCAGCATCCTCTTCATGAAGTTCTGGCACTGCTTTTATAGCTGCATTTCTAGTACATCTGTAGCATGAAATGGGCATACTCAGGTGTTCCTCTGCCTGGTCCTTGGGAGCATTTTCATCTTGTTGATTTGTTCAGAATGATGTCCAAAAGCAGCATCCAGCAAAACTCATCTGCTACTGCTGATCTCACATGGGTCATGTGCTCTGGGTCAATGAACCTGGTTGAGTCGCGAGAAAAATAATCTGAACACTTTTTAAATTTTTGTAATGGCAAATGCTATCTGTCAGCCCTCACCTACCTCAGTAAAGCTTCTCCCAGTATGCAATAAATGCGCCACTCTAGCAGATCATCTACCGTAATTTTCACTGTAGTCTATTTCAGATAATGGCTATGCACCTTAATTCATATTTATGTTTGTGCCCTGAGCATTTTGCTTTAGCACACAGTGCTTACATTGGCTTCAAAAATACTGTGGTGCATTGGAATGCAATGTCTGGGTGTTGCTGAGCTGCACTGACTGTGGTCACGGTAATATTTATGTCCTGTTCGTGTCAGTGTGCTAAGGAATGAAGCTAAATAAATTTTGCAAAGTTGGCAAACCCACTCTGATTATTTTTGCACCATTCTTTTCATTTGTGTAAGAAGTTGCCAGGTTTGCACTTGGAACAGCCTGTGCTACAAGATGAGGGATCTCCTATCGTTGAGATTTCCACTACCCTTCCTATGATTTGGACTGGGCTTTTAGAAAAGAGTACTTCTCCAAAGAGGTACATGATTCATCTTTTAAATTTGCAGCATCAAACTGGGAGATGTAGAGCCTTCTCTTCTCCTGGACTGGAAGCCAGAAGCCTGCGTGGGCTAAGACCAAGTGGGTCAGCCCTGTGGTGGATTTGAGACCTCCTGGTTTCTGAAGCTCTGAATAGATCCTCTGGTGCCTAATAACATCCATATGCCAGATGAAGCTTGTGGTTGGGGGCTTGCATGCAGAACACCTGTTCCTTGTGCGGCTTCTTTGAATGAGATGTTACACAGTGGCCTTTCCTGCACTGGGAAAATTAAAAAGGTCCTTGTCCTCCTCCACTGTCTCTTCTGAAGAACTTACATCCCAAAGCTGGCCAAAGAGTTCAAATGTTCGTGGTGAAGTAGGGAAGGAAGGGGAGAGTAAACAGACCACTGCTGCCTTTGCCACCCACACACACATGCTTTGCAAATGAGCAATCAAAGGGCTCCTGGATGAGAGCATGACTGTGCCAGGAGGGCTCTCAAGTCCTGTGGTTAGGGCAGTCACCCAAGGAAAGGGAGCTTTCCAGGGGTGGCTGCTGTGTGTACTGCAACACGGGCCGCTCACCAGGCCAGCTGGTCCCAGGTAGAACTCCCAGACTGATCCCAGGGCACCTTTCCCATTGCCCATTGCCATCACCTCTCTCTGGGAAGCCTCAATAAAAAGCGGCAAACGGCTCAGGGCCTTATGTCCATACACGGGTGGCAGGGAGAGAAGAGCTGCTGCCATACATGAGATACCTGTCATGCCTGGGTCCGCTTCAAATTCAATGCTCACCTCATGTTTCTGGGCTGCTGTCAAGGCCTTAGGCAGGTTGTCTGCTGAGGGGGCTGTTCCCCTGTGAGGATTTCACCTGTGCATCTAAATGAACACTAAGTAAATAATTTTAACAAGCTTTGGCCTGTTATTTTTGATAACGCCCTCCAGAGCCAGGCTCTACTCTTGGTTTGCACAGTGACAACCATGGACAAAGTGTAATATTTTTTGCCCATTTCAGTGTTAGCTTGTTTTTAATCCTCATAGACTGTCAGTGTAACTTTCACGTTGAATACTATTTCTGTTCTTACACCTTTACATCTTGGGACAGGGAAACCTCTCTCAGGTTTTTTTCCTATTCTTTTTCAGTCTTGATGCTGAATATTCTGATCCTTCAGCAACAAAACACTAAGGAATAACTATCTATCTGACTAAGGTCTCTCATTTTATATGTGTGTCCCATAAGAGCTAAATAAATATGTCTATAAATATAGTCAATAAATGCTCACCCTGAGGTCAATAAGTTTCATACTGAAAGCAACTTCAATTCACACTGATGCAATAACATTTTCTCAGTTTGCTAAAGAACTTGCTTGATCACGGACCGGATGCTCAATAACCTGAAGAATCCCACTGCTGAAGAGTGTGGGTGAAAATTTCAAAGCTCTTACCCAAGGATTCCTACTAGAATGCATGGAAACTGGAATACCAGGTCTTCATACTAATATTGAAGATTGTGCCCTACATATGTCTTTTGCTTTTTTCAGCAAATGTTTTCAGTGATATTTTTGTTTAAATTTTTTTTTGTTTTATCAAGATTAGAAACGTATTGTGATACAGAGAATGATTTTGATTTTGTTGAGTCTCTTCTTAGATGAAATACAGACTCACTCACAAAGAACTAAATGGAATAAATAAGAAAGAATAATCTAATTTAAACAGCTAGCAGAAAGAAATACTGCTTCACACAAGATACTATTAACCTGCAGAAATTGTTTCCATAAGATGGAATTACACCCAAAAGCACAGCAAAGCACAGATCTGAAAGATTCTGAAAAGATTTTAGAAAGGCTCTAAAACTACCTGTTTCAAGATTAAACCAATAATTCATTATTAGGGATAAACAAAAGACAACAAGGTGAGGGACAGATTGTCTGCCATCCACAGCCCCCCTACACTTTTCAGCAGCATCCATGGCTAGACACAGTAAAAGCCACAATACAGATGGACAGAGTAGGCATAGAACTGGGAATGGCATTGGTATATTTATCTTCCCTTGTAAAAACAAAAATTAAGAAATGCTTGCAGAATTTATCTTTAAAGGTATTTCTACCTTCCTGGCACTTTTTCAATTCAGGAAAAGGAAAAAAGTTTATTGACACAGGAAAAGCTGTAAACTCTGCAGCCATAACTTCCAGCCAGTTTTGAGGGGGCTTCACCTTCTCCATGGCTTTCAGTGTTAATGTCTCAATCTCATATTAGAATTATAGTGCAAATGAAAAACTGACACACACCACAAAATTCCACTTAAAAATGAGAAATAAATTATACTGTTATTTTTAGGCATTATTGACTATATTGACTGCGAAAAATTACTCTGAAGAGCTTTTTATTAGCCTTCAATAATGAAAATAACATCTCCAGTTGTCTTTAAGACATACTTCCTGTGAAGAAGGCATCCTACAAATTCCAAGCACTCAATTTTTAAAATTCCTTGAGAAGACAGAATTTTTATTTTTATTGTAATATTGCCTGGACTTCACAATTTAGCACCATGTCTTGACTGTGCAAACACACATGACAGTATGTCAAAAATGTCTGTCTCTAGAAGACCCCTGAGAAGCCTCACAGACAGAGAAAAACACAGAGGGAATAATTGCAAAGATTTATTTAGCGCATTCTGTGCTTGGCACTTAGAAACAGAGTTCCGTGCGTAGGGCAAATCTTTATACACCTTTTTCTTCATACATATTTTACATACCATTTTTATTGCCCTCTTTTATACTCATAATAATGAATACCCCACTAGGCATATAAATACATTTATCTACAACACCTCACAACAAATCTCAATAATATCTGTATTCTGTTACTTGGTATTTGCATTTTCACACAACTTAAATGCATAGCTTGCACCAAGCTACAATTGTTTTCTTATTATTAAAGGATTTGAAGAGGGGAGAAAAAAAAAGAAAAAGGAAAAAAACAGAAAAGAAAGATGTCAAAAGGCAATGATCTATTTAGTTAAACAGAGATCATGTGGCAGTTGGGAGGTTGGCAAATACTCAACCTCACTGTTTCTGAAATGCTAATGGTTTTCTATGGCAACTCTTGCATGCAAGGACAGCTGTGCTCCTGTAGAGCAAAACTCTCTTTTTTCATTGCTCTTCCCCGTGAGCTCAGTCTGGACAGTTTCCTCCTGTTGGGATGAGTGCTGTGGGACACACGTTCCCCACAAAGGCTGTCTTCCATTCAGTTTGGCTGCATTATTTCCAGCCAAGTCAACAGGAGCTGAGCACTCCTCTTCCCTGTGCACCTTTCCAAAGTTCAGTCCCTCCTAATGTCTGAGGCTCCTTTGTGGGTTAAAACTTTTCTCTCTCCTTTTTCTTTCATCTCCATCTGCAGGCTGGGTACTGCTGAGCTCAATACTCATAAAGAAACTGCTGGGCAGAGCCATGGTGAAAACGCAGAAACCTCTCAGGAAGAAGCTCTAGCCCAGCAGTGCCATTCCTGTGATACAGTGGAAGAAGGTCCCACAGGCCACTGTTTGCTTCAGAAATGGGCTGAGCTGCTCCAGCAGTGAGGATCTATTTGGAAAGGGGGAGGTCTTTAAAGCCATGGGCAGTGCAGCTTCAGAGGACGAAGCCGTGGGAGACTGCCCTTCTTCAACACCCAGAGGAGACAGCACAGGGGTATGGGTCCCTCCACGCTGAAAGCTCACACCAGCTGAAAGTTAATGCATAGACGGTATATCTGGCTGCTTCTCTCCAGCTTCTTTTAAAGTCATGCCCTTCTCTCTCCAATGTCCAGAAAAAGCAGATGCTCCGTGGCAGGTCTGGAGGCCCTGGGCTACAACAAGCTGCGATGGCTGTCAGTCAAGGCTTTCCACAAGGTTCTTGTGGCACACACCAAGATGGCTTGTGTTCTTATTTATCATTACAATACTAGTTCCACTATAAGTTTGAATGCAAAAGGGTACTGGGATGGTTTCACCCCTGGAAACGATGAAGGTCTGGCTGCCTCCGATACCAAGGAGAGGCATGGCTTGTTAGACCATGTGCACTGACATCTGTGAGGAGGAGCCCTGAACTGCACCGTACTGTCTGTTGTCACAGGTGTTGGCTGTCTGCTGGTTGCTGGAGGGAGGGCTAATCATGTGCATCCCATGATCCATTCCTGTGGAAAGGTATTGCCTCTCTCCAAAGGCCCCACTGGATGGGGAAGAGCATAGTAAAGTGCTTTGGGAGGTGGTGAGTTTCTCTGGGCTTGCTGCCAGCCTGGGGGAAGCAGGGAAATTGTATCCATAGAGGTTGTAGGGATTGTGCAGGGAGAAGGCGTTGTAGGAGCTCTGCTGCATGTGGCCACCACCAAACATGTGTGAAGAGGAGGAGGTGGAGGCAGGGTTGCCTGCTTGCATGACATACTGAAACTGAGAGCTGGGGAAAGAACCCAGCTGGCCACTGTATGCCTCCATCTTGCTGTTGCTGGGCAGGGAGGAAGGAGCTGGCATTCCTGAGATCAAGGATGGAGTCCTCTGAGGCATGAAGGTTTCAGAGGGCTGAGAGGCAGAAGCAGTGCTGCTCTGCAGCCGATTGTAGCCACCATCACTCAGCCCTGGGTAGCTCTGCAATGCAGCCATGTTGCTTCTGGCACATGGGGGATAATCAGACAAGTTGAGGTTGCAAAGCTGACTCTCCCGGCAGCCAACATTGAAAGTGTTGGGGGCCAGATGAAAAGCTGGAGGAGAGCAGGATGGAGAGAGAAGGTGAGAGGAAGCAGATGGCGATGGGGTCCCTGTGCTGGAGGTGGTTGGGGAGGTTCCTGTGCTGCCTCCTGCAAAACAAAACACATGGGAGGATGTTCAGAGCCCGGAATCACATCTGCAATATGAGACAATCTCATTAGAAAACAGCTTAGTTTAATAAAGGAACAAGGGTGGCAAAATGGCCGCTGGAAAACTCGAGTCTTTCTTGGCATGGGCCCTCACTTTATTAATAACATCCCTTGGTCTTTCCTCATGCTTTTTTGTGATGACTTTGTTTTTCAACTGAGGATTATTCCCTTTTAAAATGGGAGAGGGAAGCAAGTCTGCCACAGAGCAACTCGGGGCATTGGGAAAAGCTGCGAGAAAGCATTGCTCCATCAGTCAAGAGATCTGCCATTTCCAGGCATGTGTGCCTAGTTCTTTTTATGGGGAGAAAAATAGTGTCTTTCTCCCCTCTCCAGGTCTGCAGGAAGACCACTAGTCTGGTCCCACTGCAAACATGCTTTATCATCTGCTCATGGGCTTGTGGCGGGAAGTGGCTGAAAGCATGTTGGACTTCTGCACCATTCAACATTTTTTTCAGATGGCTCATGGTGCAGCGGGACTGATTTAAGCCAGAAGTAACACTAAAATGAAGGGACAGAGTTTCAATCTATAGCCTGTACCATAGAGCAGATAAAGAGGATCTGTCAGGATTTTCAATCATGTACTTAAACTTTAAAAGGGATTCCATATGTTGTACCACTGGTGTTAACAAAATATTGATATATATCCATGTCGGCAGTATCAACGCATTATGCAATATTTATGCCATGAATGATGGAATTGACTATTTTTCACAGCAGGAATGCTCACATGTTCTGACCTGGGAAAATAATACTGTGTAATACTACCAAGAATGGTAACAAACTAAAAGTAAGTGATATGAAGAAGCTGATGGCACAATTTTGAGCTTGAAAAGAGGTTATTTATCGGCAACATTCTGAGTAAGAGGAAGCTTCCCTGAGCAACCAGGAAAAAAAATGAGTTCTGTGCGTAAGGGAATTCAGTGTTCTGATGTGAAACCTTTTATTTTCATTTGAATTATTCTCTTTGTGTGAGATCCTCTTTCCGCATTAGGGCAACTAACAGTCTTGTAAAAGCAGAAAAGAGGTGCTGGTGAAGAGACTGACTGAGGAATAAGCAGAACCATAGGAACTGGGAAGACAATTGGTGAGGCAGCATTTTCGACGAGCTAGAAGATGACAGATGAGATGCAAATGGAATGGAAAAGAGTGTGTTAGAGTAAGCAGATGAAATTTAACCAAGGTAGAGATTGCAAATTGAGCATCAAAAATAAGGGACAGCTTTTTCTTGTGTCACCTTGTGGAAAAAAAAGCAGCAGGACTTTGAGACTATATCTGCTGCCAAACAGGGGAGGAACTGAATGCAGTGCTGCTTGATGGAAAGAGAATAGGTGATGCTAATGGTTAAGAAATGCATTAGAAAGACAGGTTCTGTGTCAGTATATGAGGTGAGAATGTAAGTGAGGTTATATTTGACTCTCTCTAACACATCTAGGATGAAACAGAATGGGAAGTGAAAATGTACTCTTGAGACATTAATAATATTTATGATTTTTTAATTTAAAAAATTTTCTGAAGCCAGACACAATAAAAAGAAGAAAAACAGCCTTGGGCAAGCACAGCTTGGAGTGATTGCTGTTGACCCAGGCAGCATTAACAAAATGCGTGTTTCTGTGTTGCTAAATCAAATCAGTCATTCCCATTACCAGCCATGGGGAGGAATGCTTATTGGTTATTGCTTATTTCTAGGCCACTGACTCCTTTATTCAAAAGCATAAAAGAGAAGCATTGCATTAAATCTCTATTAAAGTTAATGAGAAAATTTGAAGTTTCAAATGGCATCATGGATTCTCTGTATTTGCTTCTTGACAATACTGAAATGTTAAAACTTGCTCTTGTCTTTTAGGTCCAGAGTTCTAAAGCTTTTTGTGTGAATTTCTAATTTATTTTAAAGGGTACATTTCACTGTTTCATTTCAAGTCTCTGACAGACAATCTTGGGCTAATTTTGTGGTAAGTTAAGTTGGTACCTCCTCCAGCCTTTCTCTCTGTCTCTCTGTTACAGGTTGTCAACAATGCAGCAGGGTCAGCAGAAGGAAATGTCTGCCTCTACACAAGTAGTTTCATTGCAGTCTGGTTTTTGAAAGTAGTTGAAATTGCTGATAAAGTTGAGATTGAACTGAGGTACACAACCACAAACACACATATTTCTGTTAGCCCTACACTTAAAGAGTGCAACCTCCAGCAGGGAGGACAGGCAGACAGCTGAGTTCGTACATCATCTTTTAGTTATCCAAGCCCAAAATTCAGAGGTCGCATAATCACAAAACAAATACAGCACAAAGTGAGATGCATTTAACCCACAGTAACCCCATACTTGACTCTTTACACCACATATTTCATGAACAAACTGTACATAGTGACTTAGTTGCTGACAGTGTCTGAAAAATAAGTAAAAATGCATATATATATATGAGTATTCAATCATCTGTTTGAAATAAAATATGTAGAATACATTATTAAATGTAATGTCTTAATTTCAGTCTTCCTCTACCCCTTAGCTAACCTTTAAAAACTATGTAGGAGAAGAGTGCACACACCAGTTACCCCAAGCATTAGTCTTTATTCATCTGCTAAGGAGCTATGATCAAGTTATACCCATAACTGAGGCTTTCATAGAATAAGTGGAGGTTGCTAATTAGCAATTCCAAGGATTGCTTAATGTCTCCAAAAGTGAGAATTGCACATTTCAGGTCACTCCCAAGGAGAGACTGAAGTGATTCTGCTTTGAATTATCCCTATTTTCAGGCCAACAGAAAAACCCTGAAGTCACAACACAGCAGTTAGGAAATAAAGTAAAGAAGCTTTTTCTTTTTCTCTGTAACTTCAAAATGATGAGGAGAGATGAAGAGATCCATCGACAGGAGTTAACACCAAACCTGACAACTCTCTTTTAAGAATGCTTTGCTATGAATGCCAACCACAAGCACAGGACACACCACACTTATGATGTAACAGAGAATAACACAGAAGCATGAAGTTCCTGATCATTTGCAGAATAATCTTTATACTTTTAAGTGGAATGAGAAACAATACAAAGCAAGGCCCTTCTCAGCTCATTCTCTTCAGAAGGCAAACAGCTCCACTCTGCTCTGAATGCTATTTCTTATCCATCTTTGCTGGCAGCACTAAGTATAGGCCAAATGTAAACTGGATTTTGTGAAGTTATAACTTGGTCTGTAGTTGTTAAAAAGTCAGCCAAATACCCCTAGAGATGGCAGCAAGCCCAGCAAGTATATCCACACCATACTACAGCCTTCAATACACAGACATGTATGTCATTTTAACGGAAGTCATGGATACAAAAAAGCTAGTTAAACTGATACGCAACACTATGTTTAGGTCTGGTTTAATTCAACTGAAACCTAATTTAACCAAGAACAAAATAAATCTCTCAATAATTCTCCTATGTTCTTTTTCTCTACCCACTGTTTCCCATGGAAATAGTTGCCAATACCAAAAGCATTTACTAGTAGTGTCACAGTATCTCTCACCTCCACTGTCAGCATGATTCCAAAGTGATTAATTACTACTGTGCCCAGATGATCATTTTTTGGCTCTGCAGGCATCGGTCCCATATATGCCACATTTGTATAAAATACAAGGCTCAGAACTTCAAAGCCTGCTTTTTTGTATCTGAGCCCTACATCGCATGCCAGATGAAACTGTCTGTCCTCACAGTATCCTGCTGTTATGTCCAGGGCTTAGCCAAGCAGGGTGACATCCTGAAGGAAGCCTGCTCTCTGTTTAGGCATACAAATGATAGCTAAGTTGACTTTATCAAAAGAACAGAAGCATTTTCAAAGAGGGAGAGTGGAGAATGACCTAGTGTAACAGAAGTCAAAATTTGCAAATTGCACTGAGAAGTAAGAAATCATTGGTAAGGAGAGAAGCTGGGAAAAAGAAGAATGAAATCATGGTGGAAGACAAGGAGACCCTGCTGAGAAAGTGGGATGTAAACGCAAACCTTCTTCCTCACGTCAGCATTTCCTCTTGTGACACCATATACAAATGCTGGCTCTGTGCCGGTGGCAGATATGTGCCCACAAGGATTAGGGAAGAAATTACAGCTTTTCATCTGGGTATCAACAACAACTGCCATTAAAACATTGTCTCAAGTAGCTTGTGAGTGGTCTTTCCTTCCTGTTACCTGTGTCCATCTAAGCCTTGGTAAAGGTCCTGTCTCCCCATATGTTCCCAATAAACCCTTGCTTTTGCTTTTACCTGGACTGAGCTTGTGTTAAGGACAGTGTGAGGGTGAACTGCAAGCCCACGGTAAACTGCCTCAGTCCATGAGTATGATGTGCCTTAAAATGAGGGGCCAGAGTATTCTTGAAGCATTCAGCATGCCAGGGTGTCTGAAAGGCAACAGAGACCTCTTCCACATAGAGCAGGTCACGTAGAGAACTTATAACACTGCAGTGTAGATGGAAAATACATCTGCCAGCAGCCAGCACTAGCCAAAGGAACTTTCTGGCAACTGCAAGATAGTGGGGAGAGCATCAGTGCCAAGGGAGTCTGAAGTGATTGTGCATGGAAAATTTTCTGGGATCTCTTTTACGAATGACACCATACCATTTAGTTGACCCACAACTTATCCCAACCTCCTTTATCTGAAAGGTGCACATAAATCAAGCTTTGGACTCCACTGCAACATATTTTCCTTGCTAATGTTTCCAGCCATTGGTTGTTACCATAACCTGCAGCACCTCCATACAAACCTCTAGGTCCTCGAAGTCCTTTCTTAGTGCAAAGGAGGAGAGGAAATGCAAGGTGAAGTTGCGGTCAGCACAAGATGTCTGAACATGAATGCCATGCCCTGTGCAATGGCAGAGTCTCATCCGACAGGCAAGAGCTTCAGAGCAGTTTGGGCAACTTGGTTGCAGCCTGCAACTCTTAGCATATCTGGTCTCAGACACTACAAACAGGTGTGGCTGTGGATCC